GGCTCCCTCTTTTGTAATTTATCTTATTATTAGCAAGCTAAAGTAAATATTGTGAAGATTGCTTGAGGAAGTTATAGAAGACTCATTAACCAAGTTTATCTGTTTAATAGTTCTACCAATCTACAGGTTCCCAAATTAAGAAGCACCAGGATTCCTTGAAACAACTTCCTCAATGTTGTCGATGACAAATACTCTGTAAATTTATTGTATGTTTATGACACCTCATTCTGTTATTTTCAGGTAAAACAGATGATGTGCGCAAAGTATGCCGCTGTTCTGAGTTGATACAGAAGGGCACGGCCAAGTTGATGGCAGTGTCAGGCCAAGACAGTAGCATGTTGCTCGAGACAAGTTGTAGTAGTGACCTTACCAATGTGTCGGTGTTATCAGATTCACAGACAGAACGACTAGAATTCGCTGCTCAGGATGTAAACCTGGCTGCAGGTGCTCTTATAGAACAGGCCAAGGACATCATAGACCTTGAAAAGCTCATCTCCACACCGCGAGGAAAACGCTTGTTACCAGTGTCTCCCGAGAAGGGAGTTAACTCACTAATGTCACCACTACGCAGTATGTCAGTGAAAAGGAACATTTCTCTCTTAGCTTCTGCTGGACATTCCTGATGTCACATCACCTCTGACACGTCTCAACATTCCTATTGGCTACGTCACCTCTCATACGCTTTGATATTTCTAATGGTCATATCATTTCGACACGCCTTGGCATTTATGATAGTAACATCAGGTCTGAAGCATCCAGACATACCTAATGGCTACATCACATTTGACAAGCCCCGACATTACTGAAAGACACATCATGAGTATACCCTGATATTGTTATGATGAAATTGCCATTGTGAAAATAGCTAAATCCCTAAGTAATTACACACTGATAAATTGTGTATACATATGAGATAGTTTGGGATGCTACATTTGACCAGTCATATTACCAAGGTGACTAAGAGCAGTGTAAGGCTAGCATGTTACGTCACGCCTGTAATGACTTTAGTCTTCCATTGTGTTACCAAGGTGACTAGGAGCAGTGTGATGCT